GGGATTTTAACACCCCACTGTCAAAAATGGACAGATCTTCCAAACAAAATATCAACAAAGATATTGTGGCATGGAACAATGCCCTGGATGAAATGGACTTAACTGATATATACTGAGCCCTCCATACCAAAGAAGCTAAATACACATTCTTTTCAAATGTACATGGGACATTTTCAAAGATAGACCACATGATAGGACATAAAACATGCTTCAACAATTTCAAGAAAAGTGAAATCATACCAAGCATTTTCTCGGATCACAAGGGACTGAAGGTAGAAGCCAACCCCAAGGAAAAAAGCCCAAAACACTGAAAATCATGGAGATTAAATAGCATGCTATTGAAAAATGAATGGGTCAAGAATGAAATTAGGGAAGAAATCAAAAGTTTTCTGGAAACAAATGAAAATGAACTCACAACAACCCAAAACTTATGGGAAACAGCCAAGGCAGTCCTGAGAGGGAAGTTCATAGCAATACAGGCCCACCTAAAAAAGTTAGAAATTTTTCAAACAAACAACCTAATTCTACATCTAGAAGAACTTGAGGAACAACAATGAATACTGCCCAGAGCAAGTAGAAGGAAGGAAATAATCAAGGTCAGAGCAGAATTAAGTGACATAGAGACTAAAAGCACAATTCTAAGGATCAATGAATCCAAGAGCTGGTTCTTTGAAAAGAGAAACAAAATTGACAAGCCTTTAAGCAGGCTCATCAAGAAAAAAAGAGAGAAGACCCAAATAAACACAATCAGAAATGAAAAAGGAGAGATTACAACAGATACCACAGAAATACAAAGGATTGTAAGAAATTACTACAAAGAGCTGTATGCCAAGAAATTTGAAAACCTAGGTGAAATGGACAACTTTCTAGAAAAATATAATCTTCCAAAACTCAATGAAAAAGAAGCAGAAAGCCTGAACAGACCAATAACAACAAAAGAAATTGAAGCGGTAATAAAAATACTCCCAACACACAAAAGCCCTGGACCAGATGGTTTCATGGGAGAATTCTACAAAGCATTTAAGGAAGAGCTAACCCCTATCCTTCACAGACTGTTCCAAAAAATCCAAAAAGATGGGATTCCCCCAACCTCTTTTTATGAGGCCAACATCATCCTAATTCCAAAATCAGATAAAGACACAACAAAGAAAGAAACCTTCAGGCCAATATCACTGATGAACATTGACGCTAAAATCCTCAACAAAATGCTGGCAAACCACATCCAACAATACATTAAAAAGATCATACACCATGACCAAGTGGGATTCATTCCAGGGATGCAAGGATGGTACAATATTCGCAAATCAGTAAAGGTAATACATCACATAAACAAAAGCAAAGACAAAAACCACATGATCGTATCAATAGATACAGAAAAATCATTTGATAAGGTACACCACCCATTTATGATAAAAACATTCAGCAAAGTGGGAATAGAAGGAGCATTCCTCAACATAATAAAGGCTATATATGAGAGACCTACAGCCAAAATCATACTCTATGGGCAAAAACTAAAATCTTTTCCACTAAGATCAGGAACAAGCCAAAGCTGTCCACTTTCACCACTTCTATTCAATATAGTACTGAAAGTTTTAGCCACAGTGATCAGACAAGAAAAAGAAATAGAAGGCATCCAGATCGGAAAGGAGGAAACAAAACTGTCACTGTTTGCAGATGACATGATAGCATACATAGAAAATTCTACAGACTCCACCAAAAAACTGCTTGACCTAATAAATGAATCTGGCAAAACAGCAGGATACAAAATCAATATCCAGAAATCAAAGGCATTTCTGTATACCAACAATGAAACAGCAGAAGCAGAAATCAAGAAAAAAAATCCCATTTGAAATAGCAAAAAGAAAATAAAATGTCTAGGAATAAATCTAACCAAAGAAGTAAAAGACCTGTATTCAGAAAACTACATAACACTGAGGAAAGAAATCAAGGAAGAGACAAACAAATGGAAACATATACCATGTTCATGGATTGGAAGAATTAATATCATCAAAATGTCCATACTACCCAAAGCAATTTACACATTCAATGCAATTCCTATTAAAGTACCAATGGCTTATTTCACAGACATAGAACAAACACGTCAAAAATGTATATGGAACCATAAACAATCCTGAATAGCTGCTGCAATTTTGAGAAAGAATAGTAAAGTAGGGGGGGATCACAATACCTAACACTAAACTACACTACAAGGCCACTGTAATCAAAACAGCCTGGTACTGGCATAAAAACAGGCACATGGGCCAATGGAACAGAACAGAGAGCTCAGAAATAAACCCAAGTCTCTATGGTCAATTAATATTTGACAAAGGAGACAGCAACATAAAATGGAGTAAAAATAGCCTTTTCAACAAATGATGTTGGGAGAACTGGACAGCTACGCACAAAAAAATGAAACTCGAGCACCAACTTACACTTTATATAAAAATAAATTCAAGGTGGATAAAAGACTTAAATATAAACTGTGACACCATTAAAGTTCTAGAGGAGAATGTAGGTAGGAAAATCTCAGATATTTCACGAAGAAACTTTTTTACTGATATGTCCCCTAGAGCAAGGGACATAAAGGAAAGAATAAACAAATGGGATTTCATCAAAATAAAAAGCTTCTGCACAACTAAAGAAAACCGTATCAAAATAAAAAGAGAACCAACTGTATGGGAAAACATATTTGCCAATGATACCTCAGACTAGGGTTTAATCTCCAAAATATATAAAGAACTTACATGACTACACTGTAAGAAGACAAAAAACCCAATGAAAAAATGGGCAAAGGACTGGAACAGACACTTTTCCAAGGAGGACATACAGAAAATCCAAAGACACATGAAAGGATGTTCAATATCGCTAGTTATCAGAGAGATGCAAATTAAAACCACAATGAGATACCACCTCACACGGGTCAGAATGGCCATCATAAACAAAGCAACCAACAACAAGTGTTGGAGAGGTTGTGGAGAAAAGTGGACCCTAGTGCACTGTTGGTGGGACTGCAGACTGGTACAACCACTATGGAAAACACTATGGAATTTCCTCAGAAAACTAAAAATGGATCTGCCTTTTGACCCAGCAATTCCACTGCTGGAACTATATCCTAAGAACCCTAAAACACCAATCCAAAAGAACCTACACACCCCGATGTTCATAGCAGCACAATTTACAATAGCTAAGTGCTGGAAGCAACCTAGATGCCCATCAGTAAATGAATGGATCAAAAAAACCATGGTACATTTACACAATGGAATTCTATGCAGCAGAAAGGAAGAAGTAGCTCCTACCCTTTGCAACAGCATGGATGGAGCTGGAAAGCATTATGCTAAGCGAAATAAACCAGGCAGTGAAAGACAAATACCATATGATCTCACCTTTAGCAGGAACCTAAACAACAAAACAAAGAAACAAGCAAAATACAGCCAAAGACACTGAAATAGAGGACAGGCTGACAGTGACCAGAGGGGAGAGAAGAGGGAATTTCATGGGAGAATGGGGAGGGTTTACAGGAACAAACTTAAAGGACCCATGGACAAAACCTAGGGGGAGGGTGGTAATGGGAGGGAAGTTGGCAGGGATGGGTGGGTGGGCTGGAATGGTAGTAAAAGAAAGAAAACTGTACTTGAACAATGATTAAAATTAAATTAAAAAAAAAGTCTTCATAGAGAATGAACATAATATAGACCAGAAACTTTGATCTATATAAAGAAAGGGAAAACAATGAAGAAAGAATAAGTGAAGGTAAAATAAAAACTTCTGTTTTTCTTACTTTTAGATGATAACATATAACAGTTTGTTCAAAGTAATAATAGCAACAATGTACTTGATTGTATGTGTTTATGTACATATCTTATATATACATGCATATACAACATATGTCGAGAAAATATCCAGCCATTATTAATACAACAAGAGGAATTTGCACAACATTGATGTAACCTGGCAGCCAAGGAGAGTGAACTGGAATGCATGACCAATGATGAATTTACTGTACTAGTGAGTTGGGGCAGTAGATGCTGTTGAGTGAACATGTGTACTATGTGACCATGGCATTCAAAATGACTGAACGAGTTGAGCAACAAATCTGTATCAAATTTTGCTTGAAACCCGACATTCCTCCATGGAAAGTATTCAGATGATTCAGAAGGCTGTAGCTGAGGACAGCTGGTGATTGGCAGTTTCATCACAAAAATGTGCCTGCTCATGCATTACATCTTGTGCAGAGTTTTTAGATGAAACACCAAATCATCCAGGTGACTCAGTGCCCCTACAGCCCAGATTTGACAACTTTTGGCTTTTCCCAAAACTAAAATCACGTTTTTTTAAAAATGATTTTATTTATTTATTTTTAGACAGAGGGGAAGAGAGGGAGAAAGAGAGAGAGAGAAACATCAATGTGTGGTTGCCCTTTGCACACCCCTAACTGGGGACCTGGCCCACAACCCAGACATGTGCCCTTACTGGGAATTGAACCAGCGACCCTCTGCTTCACAGTCTGGTACTCAATCCACTGAGCCACACCAGCCAGAGCTAAAATCACCTTTTAAAGGGAAGAGATTTCAGACTGTTAGTGAGATTCAGGAAAATATGATGGGTCAGTTGATGGTGATTGGGAGAACTGTGTGAAGCCCCAAGGTGCCTACTTTGTAGGAGATGAAATCATCATTATCCTATGTACAATGAATGTTCTTGTATCTTGTATCTTCTTCAATAAATGCCTGTCTTTTTCATATTAGGTGGCTGGATACTTTCTGGATAGACCTCATATATACTTACATAAAAGTATAATGAATGATAACATTGATACAGGGATAGAAGGAAGAAGTTGGGATTATTTGTTTATATAAGCTATTTACTTTACCTGTAAACAGAATAGTGTCATTTAAAAGTGGACTTGGATTTGTTGTAAATGATACTGCAAACTCTAAGGCAACCACTTTAAAAAAATAAGAAAGTAAGTGATAGGCTAGGGAGGAAAATTGAATAATAACATGTTCTCAACTAATAAAACAACAAAATGCAGGAAAAGGGTGGAAGACTATAATAAGAACAAAGAACAAGGGCAACAAATAGAAAACAGTAATGAATATGGTAAGTATTAATCCAACTATATCAATAATCACTTTGAATTTCAATGGTCTAAATTTATCTCTTAAAAGACAGGTTGTTAGGGTGACCCAACTCATGACTCAACTAAATGCTGTTTATAAGAAACCCACTTTAAATATATACACACAAGACTAAAAGTAAAGTGATGAAGAAAAATATACCACGCTAATACTAATCCAAAAGAAAAAAAGAAGGGATAGCTTTATTGATTTCAGACAGAGCAGACTTTAAAGTAAAGAAAATTACTAGGAAGAAACAAGGGCATTACATAGCGAAGAAGGGTTCAGCTCTCCCAGATGATATAAAAAATCCTGAACATGTATGCACCTAACAAGAGTCAAACTACATTAGTCAAAACTGATGGAATTGTGAGAAGAAATAGATAAACCCATTATAGTATTGGGAGACTTCAACAATCCTCTTTGAGAAGTGGACAGATCCATCGGGCAGAAAATCAGTAAGAAGATAGTTGAACTTAACAATACCATCAATCAATAAGATAAAATAGGGCTTTTTTCGTTATTGTGGTCTGACATCTTATTAAGGCTGTGGTGGTAACAGCTGTTCTTTGAGTTTTGCTGTGCTGCCCCTGGATGACAAGAAGAGGGATGCTAGATATTCAGCTGAGAAAGACAAAGACCCAGTGAACAAAGGCAAAGTTTAAGACAAGCTCAATAACCTATCTTGACAAAACAACATATGACAAACTCTGTCAGGAAGTTCCCAGCTACAAGTTTATAATCCCACCTGTTGCTCCTGAGAGACTGAAGATCCATGGCTCCTTGGCCAGGGCAGGCATTCAGGAGCTCCTTAGTAAAGGACGTATTAAGCTAGTTTCAAAGCACAGAGCTAAAGTAATTTATGTTCGAAACACCAAAGGTAAGGATGCCCCAGCTTCTGGTGAAGATACATGAACAACAAGTCCCACCAGGAATACATTTGGAAAACAAACTATATTAAACAATAAAAGATATAATTGGACTACTTCATTCAACAACAGCAGACATTTACCAAGATATACCTCATTTACACATTCTGGCCATAAAACGCACTCTAACAAATTTACAAGAATAGAAATCATACAATTTCTGCTCTCAGACCAAAATGGAAATAAATTAGAAATTAATAACTGGAAACTAACTAGAAAGCACCAAAATACATGGAGAGTCAACAATATATGTCTAAATAACATGTAGAAGAAATAATCTCAACAGAAATTTTAAAATATTTTGAGCTGATTAAAAATAACTTATCAACTTTGTGGGATACAGTGAAAGCAGTGCTTAAAGGGAAATTTATGCATTGAACACATATTAGAAATCTAAAATTAATCTGTATTAAAAAACTAGAAAAAGGAGAGCAAATTAAGTCCAAAGTAAACATAAGAAAAGAAATAATAAAAATTAGAGTTGAAATCAATGAAAGTGAAAACAAGAAATCAACAGAGAAAATAAAGAAAACAAAGCTGGTCCTTTAAAAAGATCAGTAAAATCATAAGCTTCTAGTCAGGCTAACTGAATAAAAAGGAGAGGACACAAATACCCAAAATTTATAAAGAACACATATAATTCAACACCAAGAAAACCCAAACAATCTAATTAAAAAATGGACAAAAGATCTAAATAGACACTTCTCTAAAGAGGACATACAGATGGCCAATAGACATATGAAAGGATGTTTAATGTCACTAATCATCAGAGAAATGCAAATTAAAACCACGATGACATGTCACTTCACACGTGTCAGAATGGCTATCATCAATACATCAACAAACAGCCAGTGTTGGCAAGGATGTGAGAAAAGAGAACACTTGTGGCCTGTTGGTGGGAATGCACATTGGTGCAGCTACTGTGGAAAACAGTATGAACTTACCTCAGAAAATTAAAAATGTATCTGCCTTATGACCCTGTGATTCCACTTCTAGGAATATATCAGAAGGAAATTGAAACACTAATTAGAAAGAATATGTGCACCCTATGTTCATTGCAGTACTATTTACAATAGCCAAGATTTGGAAGCAGTGGAAGTGCCCATCACTAGATGAATGGATAAAAAAGCTGTGGTACATTTGCACATGAAATAACTACTGCTCAGCCATAAAAGAGAAGGAAATCTTACCTTTTGTAACAACATGGATAAACATGGAGAGTATTATGCTTAGTGAAATAAGCCAAACATAGACAAATACCATATGATCTCACTTATACATGGAATCTAATGAACAAAATAAACAAACAAAATAGAAACAGACTTATAGAGAACAAACTAACAGCTGTCAGAGGGGTGCAGGATTGGGGAGCTAGGTGAGACAGGTGAAGGAATTAAACAAAACAAACAAACAAATAAACAAACTCACCAGAAAACAACTCATAAGCATAGATAAGAGTAAGGTAATTACCAGAGGGAAACAGGTAGGGGTGGGTAGAAGAGGGTAAAGGGGGGATAAATGACCACAGGAGGAGGCTTGATTTGGGGTGGTAAACATACAATACAATATACAGGAGATGTGTTATAGAATTATATACTTGAAACCCATATAATTTTATTAACCAATGTCACCCATAATTAATTCAATAAAAATTAAAAAATAAAAAGGAAAAAGTAAGATGAAATAAAGAGGACATCACTACAGATTCCATGGACATTAAAAGGATAACAAAAGAATACTATGAATAACTTCATGCCCACAAATTTTGATAACCTAGATGAAAGGGATCAATTCCTTGAAAAATAATCTATATAACTTACATAGATGAGAAACAGACACTATGAATAGGCTTCTATCTATTAAAGAAATTGATCAATAATTATTAACTTTCCAAAACAGAAATATAAGGTCAAGATGAGTTCTGGTGAATTCTACCAAACATATAAGGAAGAAATAATATCAATTCTCTAAAATCTCTTTTAGAGGATAGAAGTAGAGGGAATACTGCCTAGCTCATTCAATAAAGTATCACCCTAATTCTAAACCCATACAAAAACATTACAAAAAAAGGAAAATAACCTACTGACCAATATCTCATGAACATAGATGTAAAAACCCTCAACAAAATATTAACAAATCAAACCACCTAAAGTACAAAAAAGAATCATACATCGCAAATAAGTGGGATTTATCCAGGTGTGCAAGTCTAGTTCAATATTTGAAAATCAATTAATGTAATCCATCATATCAACAGGTTAAAAAATCAATGATCATATCAAGAAATGAACAAAGTACATTTGACAAAATCCAGTCATGATGCTAACTCTCAGTAAACTAGGAACAGAGGGAAACTTTTTCAACTTGATAAGAACTATCTCCAAAAGCATACAAATACTATTATTTTTGATGGTGAGAAACTCAAAATTTTCCCACTAAAATCAGGTGCAAGATAAGCATGACTCCTACTTACCACTCCTTTTCAGTGTCATACTGGAAGTCCTTGCTAAGGCAACAAGGCAAGAAAAGGAAACAAAAGGTATACAGATTGGGAAGGAAGAAATAAAACTGCCTTTGTTCATACATGCCATGATCACCTATGTAGAAAATGCAAAAGGATCGACAAAAAAACCACAAAACTTTAGAACTAATGAGACTGTAGCAAAATTGCAGGATTCAAGGTTAATATACAAAAGTCGATTGCTGTTCTATATGCCAAAAATGAACAAGTGGAATTTGAAATTAAAAACAAATATTATTTACATTAGCATTCAACAAAATGAAATACTTAGGTATAAATCTAACAAAATATATACAAGATTTATATAAGGAAAACTACAAAACTCTTATGAATTAAAGAAAAACTACATCAATTTTATGTTCATGGATATGAATACTCAATATTGTCAAGATGCCAGTTCTTCCCAACTTGATATAAATTTATAGATATAAAATGCATTATATATATTATATTAAATATTATATTATAGATATAGTGCATTCCCAATCAAAATTCCAGCAGGTTATTTTATGGATATCAACAAATGGAACTGAATCTAAAGTTTATATTGGAGAAGCAATAGACCCAGAATAGTCAAAACAATATTGAAGAAGAGGTAAAAAGTTGGTGGATGATGCTACCCATCTTCAAGATTTTCTATAAAGCTGTGGTAATTAATACAGTGTGGTATTGGCAAAGGAGTAGAAAAATAGATCAATAGAACAGAATAGAGCACCCAGAAAAAGACCCTCATAAATACAGTCAGCTTATCTTTGACAAAGGAGCAAATGTAATACAATGGAAAAAAGATAGTCTCTTGAAAAAATGGTGCTGAAATAAGAGGACACACACGCAAAAAAAAAAAAAAAATTCAACATAGACTTTACATCCTTCATGAAAATTAACACAAAATGGATCATATACCAAAATGTAAAATGTAAAACTATAAAACTTATAGGAGATAACATAGGAAAAAAACTGGATGACCTTGGGTATGGTGATGCCTTTTCAGATACAATACCAAAAATACAATCCATGAAAAAAAGAATGATAAGCTGAACTTTATTAAAATTAAAAACTTCTGCTCTGGGAAAGACAATATCAAGAGAATGAGAAGACAAGCCATAGGCGGAAAGAAATATTTTCAAAAGGCACATCTGGTAAAGAACTATAATCCAAAATACAAAAAGAACTCTTAAAAATTCAACAATAAGAAAACAACCTGATTTAAAAAATGGGCCAACAACCTTCCCAGTCACCTCACCCAAGAAGATGTACAGATAGCAAGTAAGCATATGAAAACATCCTCCAAGTCATGTCATCAGGGAAATGCAAATTAAAACACCACTGAGGTACTACTACATGCCTATTAGAATGATGTGAGTCTAAAACCCTGACACAACTAAATAAATGCTAGTGAGAATCTATAGCAATAGGAACTCTCATTCATTGCTGTTAGGAATGCAAAATGGTACAACCACTTTGAAACACAGAACAGTTGGCAATTTTTAACAAAACTCAATACAGTCTTACCATGTGATCTGGTGACTGCACTCCTTGATACTTACCCAAAGAAGCTGAAAACGTATCTCCTAACAAAAACATGCAGAAGGATGTTTATAGTAGTTCTATTCATAATTGTCAAAATGTTGAAGCAACCAAGATGTTCTTCAGTAGGTGAAGGACATAAATAAACTGTTGGTTGTCAGGCCAATGGGATAATACCAGTATTAAGTGCTAAAAAGAGATAAGCTATCAAGCCATAAAAAAACAGGGAGGAAACTTAAATAAATATTACTAAGTGAAGAGACAATCTTAAAGGGCTACATATTGTATAATTCCAACTATATGACATCTGGAAAAGGCAAAACTATTAAGACAATAAAATGGTTAGTGGTTTACAGGGGTAAGGTTTGGAAGGGGAGAGATGAATGGGCAGAGCACAGAGGGTTTTTAGGACAGTGAAAAACTCGTATGACATAATAAAGATAGACATATGTCATTGTATATTTGTCCAAACCTATAGAATGTACAACACCAAGAGTGCACGCTAATGTAAAGTATGGACTTTGGATAATAGTGATGTTTTAATGTAGGTCCATCCTTGATTACACACACACACACACACACACACGTATATATATACACATATGTATGTATGTATATACATACATACACACATATATAATGGTATTGATAATGGGAGGATATGCATTTATGGGTACAGAGAAAATGGGCAGTCCATATACCTCTTTTCAATTTTGTTGTTAACCTAAAATGTTCTAAGAAAATAGTCTTAAAATGAAAAAGCAAGAAACAGAGTAGGATGAGAATATAAGTAAGAGGCACAATGGGCACTACAAAATTAAAATATAGGTTTAACATGTTCCAGTCCTGCTTTAACTTTTTTTGCATTTGAAGAATGAATGTAACACTTACTTATATATTTTTTGCACATTGAAAACCGGACTTGATATAACTATGCTATA